TACTACACACACATATATATATATATATATATATATATATATATATATATATATATGTTTGGGGCGCACCCGTGCGGCGATGCACTGCCTGCCGGAAGGGTTCGTGCTACATGCACAAAGACGGGTCGTAGCTCGTTGCACCCGTCGAAAGGTAAACTGGACCGGAGCCGATTGCCCGGCGGGGTCTTTGGTGTGCATCACGGCAAGGCGGCTCGCCAATGCAAAGCCGCCGCGTGTTGTACGGCGCGAGCGCCGCTTCCGCTGGTTGCTGCTCTATTTTTGTTGACATGGGCGTTGATTGTCTCGTGTGCGGTAGAGGCGCACCACGTTTTGGCGGTGGACCTGGGTGTGGAGTGGGTGAAGGCGGCCACGCTAGGTGGCGGGAGCGGGGCCTCCATCAACCCTGCCATTGTCCTCAATGACCAGGCAAACCGAAAGAGCCCGCAGTGCATCGCCTTTCGCTTTCTGCCGTACGACACCGACGACATACTGCAGAAGGTGGAACGGATTTTTTTTGAGCAGGCGCTCTCACTTGAGCCACGCTTCCCTGAACAAGTCGTATGCGGCTCCTCGCTTCTTGCGGGACGCGGAGTGTGGCGAGACGTAGTTGCTGTGAACGGCACCGGAGCTACAGGGAAGGAGGCAGGCCAGGACGCGTTGCTGCCCGATGACACGGCATCGCTGACGTACGCCGTGGTCCCGCACGCATCTCGTGACAAGTTGGCTGTTCACATCGTAGGCGGAAGGGATAAGAAGAGTGTGTTGAAGTTTTCCGCAGAGGAGCTTGTCGGCATGTTTTTTGCGTATTTGAAGCGAACAGCCGAACGTGGCCTGGACGGGGAGCCGCTGCGTCACCTTGTCTTGACTGTTTCAACCCGTGCCTCTGTAGCTCAGCGGCAAACGTTTGTGGACGCTGCTGCCGTGGCGGGCTTGCGCACGGTGCGGCTTGTACACGGCATCACTGCGGCAGCCGTGCAGCTGGCGTACCTCAACGCCGAGCAGTTGTTTGCCCCAGTGCGCGAAAAAAGTTCAAAGTACGTCATGGTGTACGACATGGGCAGTCGAGTGACGGAGGTTGCAGTGTATGAGTTTGCGCAGTTCCGGCAGCATCCAGGAACCATCACGTTGCTGGCAGCGGTGGTGAATGATACACTGGGCGGCCGTGCCTTTGATCAATGCATCGCCCGCTACATCGAGCGCGAACTCTTCCCGAAGGCGAATCCAAAGGCAATCGAACCCGTGCTTGCTCTTTCCACCCCAGCTGCGAGAAAGGCGGCCGCGAGTTTACTGCGGGCGGTGAAGAGTGCGCGGGAACGGCTCTCCGTGAATCAAGAGGCCCCCGTTGTCGTGCAAGGCATTCACGAGAGTGACGGCGGTGACTTTACCACCACTATATCACGCGCAAGATTTGCGCAAGAGTGCGCCCACCTCTTTGATGAGGCGGTGCGCCTGCGGGACGCTGCAATTGCACAGACGAAGGGTGCCGTGCCATCGGTGCGGAACTTGACACGTTTTGAGGTGATTGGCGGCACCACGCGGATGCCGAAGCTGCTGGAGCGCCTCAGCGACGGCTACGGCAGGGCGGTGGATCGCACGCTCAACAGCGACGAAGCAGCGGTGGTGGGCGCCGCGTACATGGGCGCCGCCCGGGCGGGCATTCCCGTCCGCGGCTTCCACGTGGTGGAGCCGCTGATGAATGACGTGTACTTTTCCCTCACGCCCCCGCTGCAGGACCTGGGCGCCGCGGGCACACCACCGCGTCGTGACACAAGGCAACTCCTTTTTGCCAAGGCTCGCACACTTGTGCCGGAGGTAAAGTCACTGCGGCTTAAAAACCGTACCGCCGACTTCACGCTCACATTAGAGGACCACGGTGGCCGCTTTGCACGATCGACGTTGATTTACGGCGTCAACGACAGCATTATGACGGCGCAGTTTCTGCCGCGGCGTCGGCGTGTGGGTGGTGGGGCGGCGAGAGGCAGGCATGAACGCTTATCACTGGAGTACATGGAGGTTGTGGTGGAAGTGACCGTGGCGGAGAGCGGCATCCCGTTTGTGTCCAACGCGTACTTGCGCGTCACGTACGAGAAACGGACGGTTGCAGTAAAAAAAGACCAAACATCACCCGGAAACATGACGCAGAATGAGTCTGTCGCCACATCTTCTGCAGGGGAAAACGCGACGCATGCCGCGGCCCCTGAGGAGTCGCAGAAACACCCGGATCTTCGGAAGCCCGATGAAGAAGCCGAAGAAGTAGAAGCGGGACGGTTGCAGCAGGAGCGTGAAGAGGAGGAGGCAGAAGATAGGTGGGAGGACGCGCCTGAAAGCGGAGCGGAAATGGAGGATGAAGAAGAGGAAGAGGAAGAGGAAGGGGAAAAGCAGGGGGCGGCGAAAGATAAACGCGAGGGAGACCAAACAAGGGAGAAGGACAACAACACTGGCGATGATGCCGTGCCGGGCGTGGGGAATCCGTCCAATGCGAAGGAGACGGTGACGCGTGTGGTACGCGGCTTCCCCCTGCGCTTTGCTCTGGCACCCTTCTCAGCTGGTGTTAATCTCAACAAGATGGAGGCGACAGCCGCACGAGAGCGTCTTGACGCCTTTCAGAGGATTGATGACGCGCGGCTGATGCGGAGCGCAATCCGCAACGACCTCGAGACCCTCATTGTGCACTATAAATCCCTCGACGCCTGGGACAAGGCACCAGTAGGGGATGCGGGCGAGGCGAACTGGCGGGAGGTTGTCAAGGAGGTGGCACAGTGGCTCGATGACGCCGGCGAGAACGTCGAGATAGCGGAGCTGCAGAGGCAGCAGCAGCGGGTGAAGGAGCTTAAAATTGGGGAAACTGCGACTGGCTAATCAATTGTTGCTTCTACTGCTCCTGCTGGGATATATTATTTGCGAGGGAGAGGGAAACTTGTGTTTTATCTATTTGCTTCGCCTTTTGCAGTATTTGTTATTATTTTTCTTTTTTCCCATTGACGATGTTGGCCCTTCGGCGTGTGCGTGCAGTTGGGCGCACGAGAGAGAGAGAGAGAGAGAGAGAGAGAGAGAGAGAGAGCCTAAAAAATCAGCTCTCTGATGTTTGCATCTCCGGTCACTGTGTGTTGACCGGTAACTGCTGTGATGTAAGATTAATAATGGTAATCGTACGGTTGCTTGTAGGTCTGTTTGCTCATGCTCTCTGCCGTATTCCCACAGCGGCCCACTTTCTGCCATGTTTGCTTGCATGCGTTTCTGCCTTTTCGCCTTGGTATGCGTGCATACTTTTTGTCCCCCGTAACTCCAGCATTCCCGCACCGTGGGAGGTAACGGGAAAAGCAATTTGCGAGCGTGCGAGGGAGTGGGACGAGAATCTGAACAGTCTCGACGACACACATTTATTTATTTATTAGCGAGGCATTTGCGCCGCGATGCTCCGCCGTTCATTTTGGCGGTGTATCCCTGTGACAAACCGCACAGTGCGGGATTCCCTCTGCGCCTCCGCGATTGATCATTGCACGCCCGTTGTGTATTCCTCGCTGCCAAACGGCTGCCGAGTGGCGACGGAATATTTTCCCAGCTGCCAGTTTGCCACTGTCGGCATCTGGATTGATGCGGGGAGCCGCTTTGAGGACCTGCAGAACAACGGGGTCGCCCACTTCTTAGAGCACATGAACTTTAAGGGCACACAAAAGTACTCCAAGAAGGCAGTGGAGGACCTCTTTGAGCAAAGCGGGGCCCACTTCAACGCCTACACCTCGCGTGACCGCACGGCGTATTACGTGAAGGCTTTCAATGAAGATGTGGAACGGATGATTGATGTGGTGGCGGACCTTCTTAAGAACGGGCGTTACGACCCGCGGGACTTGGAGTTGGAGCGACCGACGATTTTGGCTGAGATGCGGGAGGTGGAGGAGCTCGTGGATGAGGTGCTCATGGACAATCTTCACCAGGCGGCATACGATGCCCAGTCCAGCGGCCTTCCTCTCACCATCCTTGGCCCCGTTGACAACATTGCAAAGAATATCAATCGAGAGATGATCATGGACTTTGTGCAGGTACACTACACGGGCCCCCGCATGTCTTTCGTCTCCTCCGGTGGCATTCACCCCGATGAAGCCCACCGACTTGCCGAAAAGTTTTTTGGCAATCTTTCTGCGACAAACAACCGACCCCCGCTTCAGGCGCTTTACCGTGGCGGATACACGGTGATGTGGAATGAGCAGATGGCAACGGCGAATACGGCCCTTGCCTATCCCATATGTGGCGCCTCACACCCAGATAGCTATGCGCTGCAGCTAGTGCACAACGTTATTGGGCAGTTTCGAGAGGGACAGTACGACCAGTTTGCGTACCAGCACCTGAACCCCAAACTTCCATGGGATAAGCTGCCGAATATTGTGCAAATGCGTCCTTTTTACACGCCCTACGAGGAGACCAGTTTGCTTGGGTACCAGCTCATCACCACACCCATGCCCTCCGCCGGCACACATGCGTCGCCTCGCGACGAGAGCCAAGATGTTTTACTCAACTACCTCATGCGGACAATACATGAGTTAGCGACCACCTCTGTGAGTGCGACTATACTGGAGGGGGCCAAAAAGCGAGTTCAAGGCGTCCGTCATGATGATGCGGGACAGTACGACAAATAGTGCGGAGGATTTGGGGCGTCAGATGATTCACTTTGGTCACCGCGTGCCCATTCGAGAGCTCTTTGAGCGGGTGGATGCGGTGACTCCCGCCGTATTCCGTGACACCTTGGCAAAGTACACTTGCGCGACCGTTCCAACGGTTTCTTACATTGGCAGTGCAGGCGCGGCGCCCCGGTTTGACGCCGTCGCACAGATGAAGCAGAGGACGGTCGGGGTGCTGTGAGGACGATGAGAGGGGGAGAGGGGGAAGACACGGTGGGAATGACGGAAAAAAAAAAGAAGAGAGAGGTGGATGAATAACAACGACAGCAGTAGAAAATGACGAACCATACAACAGGTCTAACAGCAGCGCATTGGAGCTAAATCTGAGGCCTGGTACGGGCGGCATGGAGGGAAAAAAAGACAAAAAAAAGGAGGAGGGAAGGAAAGGCTGCTGCGAGTGGGCGGGATGGGACAGAGATGGAGGGATGCAACTTTATTTACTGCCTCTTTACGCGTGCTGCGGATAATTCTCTGCGGCTCTCTCTCCTTCTTTCCGTACCTGACTGGTAACATATTTGTCAATGAGTCTTCTTGCCAACGGCACGAGGGTGTGTGTGTGTGTCTGTGTGGATTCTCTCTCGCTGAGTAACACTGGCGTTTTTTTTTGTTTTCTCTCATTCTCCCTCATTTGTCGTTTTTGTCTTCTCGGCTGCTGGTGGCGGTGCGTGAACGAACACTACCATCGATGCATGCCTCGTAGCGAACGGAGGAGGCAAAGGGGAACGAGGGCGGGTGGCGGCATCGCACGCTGCTGAATGCATGAAGCGAGAGGAATGGTTCGCCGTGCTGCAGAAGATGCCGTGGGTGCCGTGTGAGGAGAGCAAAGGATCGCCACGGTACCGCGCGGTAGAGGCGTATCACTGCAACTTCTGTGCTTACACAGTGTGTGCTCGTTGTTACAACGCCGTGCCAACGACGCTTCTGTTCCCATCCCGAGATGCATCGGCAGTAGCTGGAGGCGGCCCACTTGGGCAGCAGAGGGGGAGCGGGGAGGAGAAGGCGCGTTCGCCGAAGAACGAATATTTGCGGCGTCAAAACACGGTGGCTGATGAAGACTTCAGCAGGCCCCGTTGCTTTCTGTGCCGCAAAGGGCTCTTGTTACGGGAGCAGGTGCCTGTGCACGAATGGACCTGCGAAGGGCCACGGCCGGCGCGCCGGCTTCAGCGTGGGGTTGGGGCGCCGTATGACGTGGATGTGGTGCAGCGGTACTACGCAATGAAGGAGCAGCGGGACAAGCGTGCACTCTCGCAGGCGCCACTTGTTGCTCAGTTTCACGCCGCTGAAAGGCCACCAGCACATTTTGCACCTGCCAGTGTGGGTGACGAGGACGGCGGCGACGTCATGGAGAGAGACCCGTTGGATCGGCGACCCTTCTGCGAGGAGGGTGCAAGTTTTGTCTTCTCCGTGCAGAATCCTCGAATGGAGGTGTCTTGCGTGTGGTGTGCGGTGAATCGACGCCTAAGTGAGGCGCATCCGTCGTTTGTGGGGGATGAGACGATCACACCTCTGCAGATTTTTTGTTGTCCGCCGTCACTTCCGGGACTTCCCGCGCGACGCTTTCGCGTCAGTGTGCCGTACGGGGTGTATGGGCTGCACCACGTGCACGCCCTGGCCCTTTACCTTACCGATGATATTTTTCGCAAGGCCTCAACAAAGCTGCAGGTGGCAACGGTGGAGACTTTGGTGGCGGACGTGACTGAGCTGCAGTCGCAGTTGCGGCGAGGGCAGCTGAGGGCGGGAAAGGAACTTCCCCGTCACGTCGTGCACCCGCTCTTGGTTGTGGACGTGCTCCACCGCATTGCCACCAGCGATCCCATGCGATGCCTGCTCAGTGAAGAGGCGTTTGCGACGCATCTGCGGGCTGTACCTTCTGACCCCTTGAACGGCGTCCCAGGTGGGGCGGAACAACTAACAGCAGCGAATACTCACGCCGCTGAGGAGACGACGGCCGAGGGCAATAGCAACAGCGACAATAGCAATGGGGCTCTGAACAAAGGCGGGGACCGCAACGATCTGCGGTGCGAGGCGCAAGTGAATGGTGACGCAATTCCTGGTGACAAGGTGGAATGTGATTCATCCATGACGTGGCCCAACGGGCTGCGGTGTGACGAACTACTTTTGACGCTGGACTACTTGCTGCAGGGCCGCTCTGCGGCCGTGTACGGCATTGCATCCAAATGTTTCTTTCTTCAACACGTTTCTCAGTGCGCCGAGTTGCGTCACCACGGGGTTGCAGTGGTGGATGGATACCGCACCTCCACCGCCCGCATCATACACCAGCTGCGTGAGCTTCGGAAGCAACTTCGGCAACGGCAACAGGGGTCAGAGCAGGCGCTGCTGTGGAGTTTCATCGCCCGTGAAGCTCGCTGTGAGCCGCTGGCGCTTGACGCCCGTTCCAATTCCCCTGAGCGCGACCGGCAGCACGACGAAGACGAGGAGGAGGCGGAGGAATATCACATGATTGACTCGACCCCCACGAACTCCCCTCGGAGCCAATCGTACCGCACCCCGCTACGGAGCCGCGTGGGGGAGGAGGGACGGAGCCAATCACGTAAACACAGCACGGATTTCTCGGCAGACAAAAATCGCCCCCTTTTTCAACAATCACACTTGGGTGAAACACCGCTGGTGTGTGAGACAGCGGGTTGCGTGCCTCTCTACTCCCCTGCGTCCCTTGAGAAGCGGCGGGAGCGTTCCATCCTTCTCGTGCGCGGGGAAGAGGCTGCGGAAGAAGAGGTGAAAGCGCCTTTGCCACCCAAATACCCTTCTCACCAGCATCAGCATCAGCATCAGCAGCCGCGGCAGCAGCAACCACAGGCACAAAAAGAGCGACAGACTAGAGAGCAGCCGCTGCCTCAACAAGGTGTGGGGCGGGATGAAACGGTGTGTGCCTGGTCGCGACGGCACTGGCTTCGTGAGCAGTCCGACTGGAACTATGACGTGCCACTGCGTGACGAGTACAGTATGAAACGACCGCGTGAAGATGGCGTGGGACTCGACGTCAATGCCGAGAAAGTCTCCGCGTTGCGTCCACGTGAGGATCGACGGCAGCGTCCTCCGCAGATCACCGTCTCTTCCCCTGAGGTAATGCGTTCCCTCCGTTTCGCATGTCGTGCACCGCTTCGCGCCTGCACTGCATGGATGTCTCTGCCGTCGATTACGGCACAAGGTCTCGTTTCGGCCGCTCTGCCCACCATGACACCATCCCTGAAGGGTGTTGCTCCTGTCACAATTATTGTTTTGCATGGCGTGGATCAACTGGATGCGCTGGCCCTGCTTGAGCTTCAAGCCATTGGACGGGAGTTTCCGTATCGTGTTATTCTACTTTGTTCCTTTGATGACCCTAACTGGCCGTTGTCGAGTACCGCGGGTTTGTTAGACCTGTTCCGTATGATGTACATTCACCTTCGCTCGATGCTGCTCCCACGCGTGCATGAGATGGCGACTATTAATAGCCTGCAGCTGCTGACAGAGTTGGAGAGCGCTTCAGTGGGAGGTGGAAGATTTAATCAACACGTCAATGGCGGCGGGGCTCTCTTCTCAGGAGCCTCTTTGCCCCTGCATGACACGATCCGGCGCATTCTGATTAGTCTCCCTGCCTCCTTCAGTGAGCTGCTGCGGTGCATGATTAAGCGCCAGGAGGATTCCGGGGAGAACGTCTTCATTCCAATGAGTTTGCATCAGGAGAACTTTGACGAGTGTGGGATGATGGTTTCCATGGCCCGTCTAAAAGCGCTTGAACGTGAGCTCACATCCAACCGCCTCGCTGTATTTAATTCAGCAGAGAACAAACTAATGATTCCCCAGCACCGAAAGCTACTGAGGGTGCTGGAGGGGTTGGAGCAGCAACATGCCGCCGGGGGTGTATCCAGCGGGTCGGCTCCAGTGGAGGCGTAGCTCCCCCCTCCCCTCCCTACACAGCAATGACCCTTTTCACTCTTTCTCACTTTATCTTTTTTTTTTTTTTGGTTTATTTTCCAACGACGGATGTCATGACACACGCGATGCCTGCCCGTGTCTCCACGGGTGCACTGATGTTTCGTCTGTTGCGGTGTCACCTCCATTCTCGGCACGAAATTAAAGAAGTAAAAACAAAACAGCAAACAATGACGATTCCTTTCTCTGCACAGATGCAGTCCTATTTTTGCTGCGGCTGCCTCGCTATTTGTTTCTTTCGCTTTCTTCACTGTTGATTTGACTGCATGTTCTTTCTTTTTCTCTCTCTTCTGCAGTGGTCTTCCGAGGTGGTACTCAAGGCGCTCTACACCGAAGCTTTTTCGTTTTGTTATACTTCTCCACAGTCCTTCTTCTCGACGAGAATAAAGGAAAAAGGAGTTTCTCTCACAGACGGTATCCCCATCATTTGTTTGCAACGTGTTTTCATACGTGTTTATAAGAAATATCCCTCTGGTGATACTTTGTCATAGTTCATATAATCCCCATATTTAGGTTTTTTATATATCTTCAGCGGGACAAGGCAAGGGAAGCGTGGCCCGAATAAAATTACGAAAGGAAGGAGAGGAGGGCTGCAGAGAACCAAGGTGGTAGCAGCTTTGCCCAATTAGTTACCCTGCGTGAGTGAGTAAGTGAGTAAGTAAGTGAGTGAGTACGAAAAGCAAACTTCGAGAGGCATGTTTGCAGTTGACTTGTTGGACGCTTTGGCGGAAGCGGCGGTTATTCTCCTATTTGATTGGACCCCGACCTCCGCGTGTGGCGATGAGGACAACGACGGGGAAATCGGCAGCGAACGCTTCACGGGATTGAACAGCTGGAGCTCGCTGGACTCGTGCTTTCCACGAAGTCAAATGAACACAACGTTGTCGGCAAACAACGCCAGCTTGACTGCATCCAGGACACTGTCTCTTGATTGCAGCAGTTTTTTGCAGGTGGCGGCTGAGGAGATTCAGACGACACCGTCGGAGCAACTTGTCGGCAGCCAGGATCACTACTGCTGGACTAATGAGTATGAGTACTTCAATAGTTCGTCAAGCACTCCTTCGAGTTGGGCTGTGCCCGTAAGGTCGCTGGAGCAAAAGTAACTCTTTCTGGATGATGACTTCTTGCGCCCTGCGAACTTACAATTCAAAAGTCATGGACGATTTCATGAATATGAATACTTTTTTTTTTTCGTTTCTGTTTTTGCTGTTGTGGTTGATGCCACTAGAGTGATATCTGTTATTATGAAAGAACGCACGAAAGCGAGCTGCCTTTTTTTTTTCCACGTACACTTTCTTTAAATACGTTGTTCCGCACACGGCCATGCCTTTTCTCCTCCACATTTGCGCTGTTATGTTTACTTGTTTTTCTCTCTCTGCGCGGTCCAAATGCTGCATCTGGTGCACCTTTCTCTGGGACAACGACCTTCTGCATTTTTGGTGACTAGACGGCTGAGTGCAGCCCGCATTTATTTCTCCTCGCTTTTTTTTTCTCTCTCTCTGTGTGTGCGCGTTTGCTCCAGCAGTGCTGGTGGTTGTTCTTTTTTTTTTTCTTCGTTGGTCAAACGTTCTTCAACCGACCTCTGAAGGTCTCTGTGTGGAAGACACGAACATGAGGCTCAGTCACACACGAGCGAATACATGGCATATCACGTGAAGGTGCAGGATGACGGATCGAGGCCTTCGCTTGGCGTTAATCCCGCGGCCGCGGGGAGGGGGGAGCAACACCGGAAGTCCCTAGTTTTTCTTGAGAGGATGGTGGGTGGCTTTATCGTGGATGGAGAAGCATATCTGCACTTTCGAAGGAAGCCAAGGAAGGCTTGCGGCGCAAGGCATCAACGCCTTTTGGGGGGAGTAAACCTCCGGTGAGGGAGCTGCAGTGCCCCTTGAAGTCTACACTGTGCGCCGGTTCCAAAGCAACATGGCGCGGGCTATTTTCGCGAAGGGCACCGTGCGGTTTGGGCGTCATCTGGACAAGTACAAGAAGTGCTGCAGTGAAGGCTGCATTGTGGGCATGCCTGGCAACACGTCATTGTTTCAGGAGCACGAAGGCAGTGAGAAGGAGTCCATCATCAGGGTTCCTTTTGAGAGGTAAGATGTACTCGCTTGTATATGAGGTTGACGACTTCGCAACAGGCTACACGATGACGCACCTTGCGGTGGTGTGAGGGATGAATCGTTTTGTGTGGAGTTGTCTGGAGTTCGGCGGTGCGGTCCACAACCACGAGAGCCTCAATGGGGACACCGCCCGCACTTTGGTCTTGTGGTGCCGGCCGGACGTTGCGTTTGCGATGCTCGAGCTCGGACAGGATGTGCACACCACGCACGCCGTGATGTGCGGCTGCAACCTTTTACACAGTGCTGTTCCGTTCAGTGGCGAGACACCTTCGTGACCACGACGCCCGAAGTTTGTGCAGAAAATCACGAGAGAGGATAGTGCGCTGGCATCACACGAGGATGCGACTGGGTTTACACTGGCAACGTGGGCCTTTGACAACACCGTCTATTTCACCTCCAAGGAGAAATGCATGCAGGACGTTTGTGTTCCTGAAAGGCGGTTGATGCGACGAATGAAGAGGCGAGGGAGCGAGAAAAGGCGGCCGCGGCTACAAGCACATGACTTGAGCTGGACGGGGCCTTGCCTGTGCGAGGCAAAACTGCTGCACCATCTACAGTCCACAGCGAGACACTTTTTTTTTTTTTTTTGGGTCGTGTGGGGTTTACCTTCGAGGCTCCATTTACGTGTCTTTTTTCCGTCGCCCTTCTGTTTTACTTGCATCTGATTCTGGACACCGTTGATCTGGCGGATCTTGGGGTGGAGACCCGATACCGTGACGCGCGGTGGGAGTTTTTGGATCACGGTATACAAAAACATTGCCTCCGGCTGGAACGGCTCCGCTTTTTTTAAAGAATGAGAAAAACACACGCCGGTTGTGCTTTTGGGCGCGCCATTCTGGGCGCCTGTATGTATCGCTATGGAACCCGTGTGCAGTTGAGGAGGAACCTCATGCGTCTACGAATTTGCGGGGTGCAATCCGTTGTGGAGCGAAGGTTTATACGAAAGGGCTTAGACACGTATTGCTTTTTCATTTACGAGGGTCGACAGCATGGCGTCTGCTTTTCCATTGTCGTTGGCGCTGTTCTTGGCAACTACACTGGAGGAAAGTTGTACAAATGCACTCTTGTATCGCGTTTGGCTGGGTTAACTTTGATGGAAACTTATCCGCCCAGTGATTCCCCGGCGTGGAACGGCGTCACGGCTTTTTGTGGATTTAGGTGGATTTTGGTGGGCGCTTCGCACGATCGATTGGTACACTCTCATGTTTGTCTTTGGTCTCATGCGCCATCAAAGTTTCCTCAACGTTTATTTGTTGCATCACACCTCATGCAGGTTTGCTGCGCCAACCAATGGGGTCTTCTTCTGGAAGAGGGGTAAAATGTAGCGTAAGCAGCTTCAGGAGACGAGCACTGTCACTGTTTGCATGGGAATTTACTGGGCGTCTTTCATTGGGTGGATGGTGATTGCTGCTGTCTTTCTCGGATTTGAATTGTGTTTCGACCCTATGAAGGTGGTGTTTGTAAAGCTACTTATTCTGGTGACATGGTTGGGATTCCCCGTCGTCATCGCTCTTTTTTTATTTTTATTTTGAATGTTTTTGGAGGTCGTGATTGTGGCGCAGGAGTAGACGTGGCGGGCCTTTCAGGAGCATTTTCAGTTGTTCTTCCCCAGCCTGACTAATTCCACCCACCACAACATCTATTTTCTTATCTTGGCCATGACTCTGCGGTGGAGCCTCACCCTCCGCATCGTTCAGGGTCACGTTTGTCTACTGCAAGGCCACGTGTGTGGAATGCCATTCAAGGGCGTTGCGTACCTCTGCCTTGCCCATGTTCCAACTGTGCTTGGCCTTCTCCTCCTTTTCCTCCTCCTTTGCTCTTCACTTTGGTTGGAGTGGAGTGGCAGCACGGGACGTGCCATCGCGTTCTACTTGGAGCATGTCCACCTCAAGTCATGCCCGTTGGAGTCCGAGGAGGCGGTGAAGCTGGCTGAGCGTGATAGGGGCAGTTTGGTCGTATGTTCTTCTGCTCATTGTTATGCAGGGCTAATATGGAAAACATGAGGGATAAAATCCGCGTTTTGCGACGTCGTTAGGCGTGTTGGGCGTGTTGGGCAGCAGCTGCACGCACAGACACCCAGAGCAGGAGGGACCAATGCCGCTAAAGCCGTTACGGTTTGGTGATGGGGCGACCGCGAAGGCGGCAGCGCGGAAAGGCTTCTCTCCAGACGAGGAGTTTATGCCCTTGCATTAATAAACTATTCCCCTCACTGGGTGGCTGTGGGGGAGTCAGACAGGGGGTCACCAAGGCCCCTTTTCCCTCTCTCTTCCTTACCATCACCACCTCTTTTTTGCTTTGCCTTATTTACTTCACTATGCCCGTCGCGGCCTTTCTCTTACGCAGACCGAGCTGTGTCGTTCACTTCCTCGCACGGTACAGCACTGTGAAAATCCAACAACACACCGTTTTGCTTGCGTGTACGCGAGTGGTAATGTTGGTGTTGTGTGACGTTTCTCCGATGGAGCGGGGAGAGGCGAATGCGTGGGGGCAAAGTCTTTTCGTCGTGGCTGTCTTTTGATACGTGAGTGCCTTTGTTTTTTTTTTTTTCTTTTTGATGCCCATTTACGCATTCTTTTCGTCTTTCTTTCACTCGAAGTCATTGGTGTTTCGCGGAGCAGGAGATGAGAAGGGACAACAAACGAATGTCTCATGTTTTTCTTCATCGCCTGCGAGGTGGCTGCGGTGGCAGTGGATAACCACCACCACCCTTCTAAGCCTCAAATTTGTTTTCATTTTTTTTTTTTTTGTCTTTGGAGGCTGTTGCTGCGATGCATTTCCCTCTTCGCTTTTTGTTTGATTGTTTTTTTCCGACTGGGGCTGTCCGTGTGAACAATTGGGGAAACATATATATGATCTGCGATGTTCATTAATTGTCCCCCCGGTGTGAGTGGAGTCGTCAGAGACGACGGGTTGTGCCTGTTGATAGTGTGTGGTGCTAGTGGCGGTGGCCCCAGCTCTCTTTCCACCTCTCGTTCTCTTTCCCGCTTCTGTGGTATTGGTGTTTGTTGGTGGACGGGGAAGAGGCGCTCGCAGGACCAGACGATGCCCAACGCGACCGGTCACACAGTCCAGCTGAATCCCTACGCCCAAGATTGGGCCCCTGAGGCGTTCAAGGCCGCCGCACTGCTTCCCAACAGGAACAGCACCGCCTTCCCGTGGTTCCTGGACGCGTCTGCGTGCGTGGGACCCAATGACACGATTCTTGGGCCGGGGCCGGTGGCGGACGCTGCACCTTGCGCCGCCGCGGACGCAACAGAAAACGTTGTGCCTTCTTGGTTTCAGCGTGCCTGGATGGAGGCGACACAGATCTACTACTACTACTACAACTACTATAACTACTTGTACCAGTACAGCTGCTGCGAGGCGGATCGCGAGAGGCACAGATTTTGCGTGGCCCCTCCAACTGTGGCTGCATTCCGTGAAGCACAATTCCCGAGAGAGGGCTCTACAGATTCCGATGTACCTGCAGCAGGCACGGATGCCTGTACACAGACTTTTCCTTGCAATGAGGTTGCACCAATGCACGAGTCCAAGGAACATGAATCTTTTCTTCCTCCTTTTCCTCATTCCCATTTACTTTTGGGGGAAAATATTGGGGATGACAAACGTATTGAAGCTTGCCATCGTGGTACATCAACATTGCCTTCCTGCCTACTATGTGGGAAAGACAATCACCTTTACACGGCCTGTCGACTGTTTGACGACAAGACCGTGTGCTTTATAAATACTGCAGATTTTACTGTTTATGCCATGCGGCACGATCATTGGATTGAGCGGGCCACATTGCATGACGTTCATGCGTTTATTCGCCTGGCCATGGGGTTGGTTTCACAAGTCCTCTTGCAGGTGGGCTCCCAACAACTAACGTTGAAGGATTATCCTTCTGGGACACGCTGCTGTGATTTACTGATTCTTCCTGGAGCTGTTGTGGGCGTGTCAGGGTTCCGACCTTCACTCGGGCCAAACACGACACCGTCGCCGATGGCTAACGGGCTGGTCACGAACCAGCGGCAGCATGCACCACTAGAGGACGCCTCTGATGAGGAAGCAGCAGTGATGGGTGACGAGGCGTTGGATGTCTCTACCATTGGACGGACATCAGAACTCTCCGTTTCCCTCCCACTCTTGGAGCATCATGAAGGCATCAGAGATGATGCGGCGACAAAAAACTTAACCGAAGGTACAATATGCATCAGTGAACATGAGCACACTCCCGTGAGCAACGGAAGCGGCACCGCTTTACCCTCTCCTGTGTCGACACGTACTGATAAGGTTGATTTGGAAGTCGCACATGTCAGCGTGGTGACACAAGTGGATTTAACGGCGACGCCTACAGTTCCAGATCCTGTTATCACCAAGCCGCTTTCTTTGCCCCCCTCCCCAAGAGATTTTTCTGGAGTCCCTGAGGAGCACTTGGATTGGGAAGCGGTGGTGCGCAGGGACGACCACGGCAACGAGCAGCCAGTGGCTAATACCACTGCAGAGTTGACAGCAACGGAGCAGGCTGTAGACATAACAGTTGAGCACGAGACGCCTCACGTCTTTCCAGACACGCCGGAAACTGTGGCTAAGCCCTTCGACACGGATGCATCGCGCCTGCGTCGCACCTTCCACGTCAGATTTCTACCCGTACAGATGTCGTTTAGGGAAATACGTACGCTTCTGTGGTCGTGTGGCGAGGTGGCTAAGGTGCGGCTGGTGAAGCCCCGCGCGACGGCAAACCCGGGACGGATGTTTTATGTGTGCTTTGTCGAATACGCCACAGACAAAGGCGCGGCGAAGGTGAAGGAGTTGCATGGCCATCATGTGGCCGGTACCTTCCGATTGACTGTGGAGTGCAGCCGAAATCCGATTCTCGGGGGCTACGTCACGGACCGCGACGAACACACGGGTAAGCCATGTACCTTCGGCCTGAGCGAGGGTGAGAGGCTTGCTGTGGAGAGGCGTTACGTCGATGTGAGGGGCGGTGACACCGGTGAAGTGTCGGACGGCGGCGCAACGAAGTCGTCTCACCAGCGGGGAGGACAACGACGACATTCCAGGGAGTGCTCCAAGGCGCCCGTCACGACCACAGCCACTGCCAAGGAAGAACGTTACAGCATGGCATTGCGTGGCAGGAACGACAAAATTGGGCCATACGCTCTTGAAATCGTCGCTAAAGACGGTCGTTGGAGACGGGTACGACTGGGTGCGGGTCGAAATCGAGGGGACGCCGTCACTGGAGGTGGCAGTGGCGAGGCGTCCGCAGCGTTGACCTCATTCGCCGCTGTAAGGGCGAGGGCAGCAGCGGCAGGGCTTCCGCCTGCTGTGGGTCGTGACGTGGGCGGGAGCTGTGAACAGGTTCTGCGTGAGCGTTTGTGTGCTGCCACTTCCTGCTACGTGCAGTGCACGACACCACGAAACTTTTTTGAGGTTCTCAGTGTATTGGAGGAAGGCAAGTGGTGCTCTGTCACTATCATGTTCCGCCTGTTTCTTGCGAGGTGTGAAGTGGCGTTATTTTTTCACCACGTCCTACCTCGGGCCTTTGAAAACGCTGCCATGGCTGCCACGCGAGTGGTTCACTTAAGCGACACTCTCACGCGGCTTTTGACAGATGTCGTGGCTAATGGTGGACGCGTTGCCCCCTTGTGGAGCTCTTTCTTTATGCCCATACCACCGTCTCAACAATCGCTTCAGGTGTCACGAGACAATGATCAACAAAGCGAGGAGTTGCTGGAAAGCAAAAAAGACGTTCGGCACTACCCGTGCTTCGGCAAGGTGCTGCAATTTGTGGAGCTGTTGCTTCACATCACTCTCTTGTTTGATGACTTTCAGTGTAACTGTCAAAGAGAACATGGTGGGAGAGGCACGGATGGCGGTGCACTGCCCACCGCACACTCCGCAGGAGCGAGTAATGGGGACGACGACATTGCTCAGAAGTTGTTGGCGTGCGTTCGTCGCCTGCTGGTGCGGTTGCACACTGAGCTTGCCAGTGAAGGAGGAGGGCATTTGTCCCCTGAAGCGCACGTGTGGCACGACAAGGTGTCCAGCATGTTACACTTGCTACCGCCAGGGCCTGGCTGGAGTTCCGGCTCCCTGCTAGACGCGCTACTACCGGGCAGGACACAGGTGGCTATTGCCGTGCTGGCATCACAAACGGAGTTAAATCTTTTTTGACTATGCTATTATTATTATTTTGGTTTGCTGACCCTCGTTGCCGTTTCAGGAAGGATTCGTATCCTTTCCCTCTTTATGGGTTGTTTGTGTAAAGTCTCTGGGGTGATGTCGTTTCAGATGCGTGTGTATGCCTTTAAAAAAAATTCGTTTTCTCACTTGAGCTCCGTACTTTTCACTCCGCGTGGTATGTGCAGCGTGCCGCATGCAGGGTGCACAGTTGCGGATCAGAAAAGAGAAGACACAAAAAATAAAATGAAACAAAAGAGGGATGGCCAGGGACACGTGTGTGGGTATATGGCTGTGCCCCTGCTTCCTCGTTTCTTCCCATGGCCGTGCATGTAGGGCTCTACAAATGCCTCCCTCTGGGGTTGTTTGTTTGTTACTACTAACTAGGGCTTTTTTTTTCGTGTTTCATTTTTGCGTCATTCCGTCTTTCTTTCAGATTTTCTCTCTCTCCCTCTAAGTTTTTTTTTTTTTTTGGTTTGTGTGGGTGCGATATTTTTTCCTCCCGCCGGTTTATGGGGTGCCTGTGAAGGGAGGTTGGGTCGTGGGGGCTGCTAAGGTGTTTTATTATTGTTATTTATTTATTTAGCCGCCGACGTCTCTTGGAAGAATTCGGGGCCAGAATGGGGCTTGGGGTGTCGATGCCGCAGTGTGTTTAACTCCCCGCCTCTGTTTATTTATGCTCAACTTAATTTTCTTCTTGTCTCCAAACTTGTCGTTGGTGGAGGGGCGGCGGGTGCAGCTTTTTTTGTTTTGCTTCGGCCCTCCCGTCGTAACCCCCCCCCAACTGCCATGACGGCGACGACTAGCCCTCTCCACACGGAGGGGAAGGGAAGCGTCGCTTGCAGGAGGCTTTGCGGACTCCCGTTTGGTGAGTTCGTGGCGAAGCCCCCGTTATTTTGGACGTAGGGCTCTTGAGTTCGTTTGTTTGTGTGTCGTGTGCCTGTCTGTATATATATATATATATATATATATATGTGGA